TTTCTGCTTTCCTCATTTTTAATGAGGTAGAAGCATTAATGTGCAGTTAATGTTTAAACACTATTTAGTTTTTTAAGTTGAGAGGGGGACTGTCTGATTTTTAGTGTTTGCCAATTGCTGTGGTGAAACTACTACCACTGTGGCTGATTGCAAACTACTAAGGTGAATCACTGAACTTAGAACTGGAAAGATGCTAACCAGAAGCTCCTACAAGCTAGTGTGGGCTGATTCCAGCACCCCAATGGGTGGCAATATCAGCTGCTTGCCAAAATCCCTGCAAATCTATTGCCAAGGGAATTTTTCCCCTTACAGAGAGGCTACTTGAACTCACATCAGTTGTAAAAGTAAGCTCAGAACCAAGATAACTGGGTTGGTAAAGGACGAGGGAGTTGTGTGAAGAGTAACTTCATTGTGTTTGTACAACAAATATATTCCTCCACAATTCGTGCAGTGACTTTCTCTAACTACAAGCTGGGGCATCTGAGAGCTCAGCATGGCAGTGCTAAAGCCAGAGTGCCCAGCGCGGTCTGGGAGTCTGGGACCTGGCCTCCAGTCCAAGCCCTAGTACAAACATTCTGTCTTACCTTGGGCAAACTGCTTAATTTCTCTGGATCCACACATTTTCATATGTAAAATGTTAAAATGGGGGCTAGAAATAAGAGAACAGAACAGGTAATCATCAAAGTTCCTCTTCTAAATCTTCAGTATATGATCCCCTGAGATAACAGGAAACTAAGTGTGGGGGGGGGTAGTTTTAAGTGATGTTGTTTCCAAAAATATCATAGTGTGGGAAACAATGGAAATTCCCAAGGAGGAGACTTCTTGTTAATTGCTGAATGGTCTTCAGAGAGCTGTGGTCCCTATTCTTACCTGAAAAGAAGGCTTTCAGACACAGTTTTACCACTGGGAAACAACAGCTCCCAATTGCCCTTCATTTCTTCATGTAATGAGATGAAATGTTTGCTTCCGTATGCCCATCTGAGAGGGCTCAGTTAAACCCAAAAGAGGCCCATCTCTTGGCTGTTTTATGGTATTTCAGCCATGATTATCTGATGGGGTTATTATCCACTACACTATCCTAATATCAACATTTGCTTCAGTCTAGTCTGAAAATACTAGAGAATATCCAGATTGTCATAGTAAGAGGTAAACTGTTATACAGGAAACGTCTTGATCATTGGTGTCAAGGTCATATATTTATGAAAGTGGCAAAGGATATTCATTGTTAGTTGCCTGCTTGTAAAAATGGGGTTTTGGTAGGCACCTCTAAGAACATTTTTCTGATATACCTTCTGGGTTGCTTCAAGTAGGTAATATTTCATAAATTAGGAAGATCTGGTAGTGAGAGATGAAGCAGCGTAGTGTATTTTCTCTCTGGATGCAGTGTCAGTATTAGAAAAACCTTAGCTACTGATATTTTTGCAACCATTGCAACTTGGTGATGATATGCAATATATAGTCCAATTCAGGGGAGAATTCACAGCATCAAAGACCTAGGATGAAAAATATATTTTAGATGCTTAAAAATATGTTGTTCACAAACCACTGAGTGATTTGAAACTCAGAACAGGGAAAATTTTCTAAACTTTATGAGATAGCCTTGGAAAGTTGAATGAAATACTTAATTATTTTGTTAGCAAATCTGTAAGCATCTTAAATGGCTTAATTAATTACAGATTATCCATTAGACCTTTCTCAACTCCACACCACTCTGAACTATATTATTATTGTTATCCTTGACTCTCAAATTTTCTTGCTTTAATGTATCTGCTGGTTTTCTCATGGCCGCTGGAGAATTACTGGTGCACGTTAATACACACACCATGTTGGGTGGTAGCACACGTGGTGGGTAGTTGGCATTCCTGAGTAAAACATTTAGGTTCAGGTCCTGGCTGTACTTGAAACCAGCTGTGCAATCTTGAACAAGTTACATAACCTCTCTGTATTTCCGTTTCCTTATCTGTAAAGTAGGGAAAATAATAGTGTCTACTGGCCAGGTGTGGTGGCTCAAGCCTGTAATCACAGCATTTTTGGAGGCTAAGGCAGGAACACTGCTTGAGCCCAGGAGTTAAAGACCAGCGTGGGCCACATGGCGAAAACCCTTCTCTACAAAAAATACAAAACTTAGCTGGATGTGATGGCATGCACCTGTAGTCCCAGCTTTGCAGGAAGCTGAGGTGGGAGGATGCTTGAGCCCAAGAGGTTGAGGCTGCAGTGAGTGGTGATCATGCCGCTGCACTCCAGCCTGGGCAACAGAGCCAGACTCTGTCTCTATAATAATAATAATAGCATCTACATTATAGGATTATTGTTAAGAACTAAATTGGGTAATTCATGTAAAATAATATTCAAAAGTATGGCATCTACCTGCTGACATATATTTAGTACTCAGTAGATAGTAGTTCTCATATGTGTTCTTAACTCTTGACAATTGAATTTGTTGAACTCCAGCGTGTGTATTGTGTGTGTGTGTGTGTTTAGTGATTCGATGAGTTGTGTTTTGCTCTGGCTAAAACTAAAGGTAAGTTGCCTTTCTCGTACATGCATCAGCTAGTGGGAGGGGAGGTTCTCGAGTGTGGTATGGCACAGGGGGAGTTATTCCAGGATTAAAAGAATCTGCTGTGGGGACAGTCTACATGCAGCCAATCAAACTGGGTTGATACACTTTATGAATTGATATCTTGTAGGCCTTTCCACAGACGTTTTCACCCAAATGTAAAGCATTGCTGAGAGGTGGAATGACTAGAGGCTGTGGCCGAATGTCCTTCATTCACTGGTATTCCTCTCCTTCTGTCCAGTGCAGAAGGATATTCGTATCTCCTCAATGTTGCAGGTGAGACAGTTCATCCAGAATACTTCCAGAAACTGGACCTTCTCCATATATCCACGATCAGGGAGTCGCTTTATACTACAACTTCCTCTCTTTTGGAAATGTGTGTCTCCAAACCATTGCAGGTTTTATGGGGCTTTAGTTGTGTCTAGGGTTGGCCGCAGGTGGGTAATGGAAGGAGAGAGTTTTCTTTGATCCATCTAATGAATTAATGAATTAACCTTAGGTGGGGTTCAGAAGCCAGGCTCCTTACTGTTGCTGAAGCAGGGCTGATTATGAGCCAGCCTAACTGCTGGAAAAATGGAGCTTCGTGCTAGAAGAATTAGGGACATGGCCCAGTCCATTCATCTTCCCTAATCGAGTTCTTGGGAAATACACATGTAGATTAGCTCCTAACAATGACCCCCGGCTGATTGCTTGGAGTACCCTCCTCGGTGCCCACAATGGTACTGACTAGCTCTTTATGTCCTGCACAAAGGAAGCCCCAACTCCCCGTTGTCCTTCTCTGCCCTGCTCCCCGCCGCCCCCGCCATCACTGCAACTCCAGCCCTCACCAGTGGCTGTTGAAGTCATTTCTGCTTTTCTCCCTAGACTCTGAAATGAACAGTAAATAAAAGCTAACCTCACCTGGACTTATTAGGAGGAGCTGGGCAGTTTCAGAGGAATTAACTTTGGAAAACAAGGCCATAAACCCCTTAGCAGCGTGTGGGCAGGAGCTTAAGAAAACGCTGCCAATCTTTGTTTAGCGGTGATTATTGAGATCAAGTTAATATTGGGGAAGTTTGCATAAAAAGCATTCTCGGTCAGAGGGGAAACAACAAATACCAATTAATTATCCCCATGGCTGCTCTCTGCTCACCACCACCTCAGCACATCAGCCTCCTGGTCTATGTAACTGGCAGTCCGACCTTGTGGGTGCCACCAGGCCATTTGTGGGGCCTGGAAAGGCAGAGGAGGGGCAGAGGAGGAGGCAAACCCTGGTCTGTCAGGGGACTCTCCAGAGGGTTTAATTTGCCCTGGATGCCAATGCCCAAAAGCCACTCTCTATAGAACCTGACTTTATTTCTTCTGGGAGCTAAACTGCTTCTACCTCCACCTCTTTGTTGTAGGATTCAGTCTCAGGGAAGGATTAAAGACAGACTGCAAGCTAAGATGGGCTTTGATTATTTTCAAAAAGATCACACTCTACAATAATAATTACAAACAAGCTGCAGGCAGAAAACACTGGACAAGGAGTCAGTGGCCAGAGTTCTAATTGACCCCTTCACTTAAAAGCTGTATCACTTTGAGCTTCAGTTTCCTCTTCTGTAAAATGGGGACCAGTATATCTGTCCTGCTCACCTAATAGGGTTGTAAAGATCAGATGACATGAAGAATGTGAGAGGATTCTGAAAATTACAAAGCAACATGTCGAGAGGATTGCGTGAGCCCAAGGGTTCCAGGCTACAGTGAGCCACCATCGCACCACTGCACCCCAGCCTGGGCAACAGAGAGGGACCTGTCTCTAAAATAAACAAATAATAAATAAATAAATAAATATGATATGTGAACACTGTAAAGTGCTATTAACTTACATTAGCTTTTTTCTTTTCTTTTCTTTTGAGACAGAGTCTCGCTCTGTTGCCAGGCGCCAGGCTGGAGTGCGGTGGCACGATCTCGGCTCACTTCAACCTCTGCCTCCTGGGTTCAAGCAATTCCCCTGCCTCAGTCTCCCAAGTAGCTGGGACTACAAGCGCGTGCCACCATGCCCAGCTAATTTTTGTGTTTTTTAGTAGATACAGGGTTTCACCATGTTGGCCAGGATGGTCTCAATCTCCTGACCTCATAATCCACCCGCCTCGGCCTCCCAAAGTGCTGGGATTACAGCTGTGAGCCACTGTGCCTGGCCAGCTTTTTTCTTAAAATTGAAAATAATTTCTGACTTGAAGTAGTTCAGTTTTTATTTCCTATGGTCACATGCTTACCTTTATTTCAGTTTGCCTTTATATAGTTTTATTCAAAATAGATATGCCCATCACGGGGAGTTAACCATTGAACCATCTTTAAGGAACTGCTTTGTCCTCCGCAAATATCCTCCCAACACCAATTTAAAGGTGGGGGATCTGAGGATATATGTTTTCCCTCTTTTATCCCTTTGTCTTGTCCTTCAGCCTGGATGTTAAAACTCCCCCAGACCAGCGGCCCTGGCCTTTCCCGGTTTGTTTGATGCCCACGACGTGGCCCTCGATGGTGTCCTGCCCTCCGAAGGGACGCAGCAAATTCTTGCCTGAACGCAAGCGGGATGAAGAAAACGCCCCTGCGGTGGAGATCAGAGCGCCTAATGAAAAGGAGATTTTAGGGATGGTGTCCTCTAGGTCCTTGGGCTTTTATAGGAAAGCATTTTAATTCACGGTTCAGGCCACCAGTTCAGGGAAGGCCAAGGGCCCTCCTAGAGTCTCGCCTCAGATTTGAGGTGTGCGATGTTCACAGCGCCATTGTCCATCCGCGCTGCGGGAGGTCAAACACACTCACCCTCGCAAAGCATCTTTCCAAGTGGCCGATCAGTCGCTGTGGGCCACGGAAGCCTCCACGGGGTCCAAAGGAGAAAGAACTGCAAGCCGATTACTCCTGAATCCTCGGGGAGGCGCGAGGCCTCCTCCCCGGGAAAAGGTCCTTCCCCAGCCAGCTCGGGGCAAAAGGTCCTTCCCCAGCCAGCTCGGGGCCCTCTCCTGGTCCTGGAGAAGTGTTGGAGGGAGGCGGGAGTTCCCGCAGAACAGGGGCGAGGTGGGGAACTCCAGGTGGGTCTCCTTCGGGGCCTGAGCCCGTCTGCACACCCGACGCGGGGCTCCCAGCCTCCTGCTGGACAAGCGGGCGCTAGAGGTCACTAGACCAGTGGGCACAAATGGCCCTGAGGTAGGCGCTGAAGGGAGGGAGGAAGAGAGGCTGGGGCGCTTAAGTCCGAGGGGACTGGGGGGAGTTAAAACAGATATAGACGGACAAACTAAACGCGAGGCCTGGGACTTCGTACCAGCGACCCCAGAACTGAGTGGGAAGAGAAAAGGGAGCAAGCGGGGGGAAATTCAAACTCGGACGAGTGCGGAGCTGGGAAGCCTTCGGCTGGACCTCGGTGCTTCCAGAGGGCACCAGGCCAGCGTGGCGGCCCCGCGGAGGTGAGCCAGAGGGGGCGAGGGGCGAGTCTGACGTTGGGGAGGAGTTGCGTCCAGGAAGGGAGGTGACCCCCAGTGTGTAGTCTGAGGTGAGAGGGTAAGCCCGAGGCAGGGGGCGTCAAACGCAAGGGGAGAGATGAGCCCCAAGGGCGTCGGCCCCACTGAGGCAGGACTAGGGGTGGCCGCGATCGGGTTCCCGGGCCTTTCAAGCATCCAGCCGCCGATCCCCGGAGTGTGTTTGTAAAGCTTAAAGCGGATCAAGAAGTAGGAGGGGAATGTTCCTAGTGCCCGCCCGGGAGTGGCCGCGCGAAGACCCTGAGGCTGGGCAGGACAAGGACCCGCCCCTCGGCGGAGGGAGGGGCTGAGAGAAGGGGCTGGGTCCGGGGCAAGAGGGGAGGAGCCGGGGGCCAGTTGGCTCCCTGCCTTTAGCGCCGGGAGCCCCGGCTACTCCGAGCCCGAACTTCCGACTTCTGGGACTAAGGCAGCAGCGGGTTGAGCGCTCGGCCACCCCCAGCGTGCTGCCCGGGCGGGCTTCGCCCGCTGAGCTTGACCTAGGGTCGGGAGCCGTCGGGTTGCACCGCAGCACTCGGGAAGAGCCGACTTCGAGCCTCTCATCTCCGTCTCCAAAGCGCCCCCCCCCCCCGCCTCCCCACGCTCCCCATGCACCTGCCGGGCTGCGCGCCTGCTATGGCCGACGGGAGCTTCTCGCTCGCCGGCCACCTGCTCCGCAGCCCGGGCGGGAGCACATCGCGATTGCACAGCATCGAGGCCATCCTGGGGTTTACCAAGGACGACGGGATCCTCGGCACCTTCCCCGCGGAGGGGGGCGCCCGGGGTTCGAAGGAGCGGGATAGGAGGCTGGGCGCGCGGTCCGCCTGCCCCAAGGCGCCCGAAGGATGCGCCGAACCCTCCACGCCGCCAGCCCCGGCGTCTGTCCCAGAGTACGAAGGTGAGTGCTCACCCTTGGCTGTGCGAGGCCCTTCAGGCGCCCGAGCTTAGGAGTCTGCCCGACGAGAGCGACCCTTCCTTAACTTTTATTAAGGCACATGGGCGCGGGGTTGGGGGCTCTGTCTATGGCGGGAGCTTCCAGTTTGCATTCAGAGAAAGCTTAGGACCCATCGCCGCCCTCAACCCGGACCTCCCCGGGCCATCTCGGAGCCCGGAGCCGGACTGGCCAGTGCCCACGGCAAGGCGTGGTCGGCCCCGGCCCAAGGGTGCTCCGGGGAATGTCTCTGACCCTCCCGGGCCTCGTCGCCCCAGCCCCTCGCCCTTACTGCTCCAAGGAGCCCGGGGAGGCACGGCCAAGCCCAGGGCTGCCCGTCGGGCCAGCCACCGGCGAAGCGAAACTGTCAGAGGAGGAACAGCCCAAGAAAAAGCATCGGCGGAACCGCACGACTTTCACCACCTACCAGCTGCATGAGCTGGAGCGCGCGTTCGAGAAGTCCCACTACCCGGACGTGTACAGCCGCGAGGAGCTGGCCGGCAAGGTCAACCTACCCGAAGTCCGGGTCCAGGTAAAGCGCCCAGGTTGAGGAACTGGGATCCGGGAGGGCCCAAGGCCCAAACTGCAGCTAGTGTTTCTCGGAGTTCAAGGGCGTCCACGCATGTATTACTGTCCTTCCTCGGCTTGGCACGCCCAGAGTCCCAAGGGAGAGGCACAGATCTTCGATGTTCGCTGTGCACTACCCCTAAGGCAGTCTGTTCCAGTTTGTAGTACGGGTTCCCCTTTGGGGGTTTTCCTCTTCTAAACTAAAAAGGGAAGACGGGAATGACTTTTAAGATGAAGAGGCCGACAGTTCATTAGACATAGAAAGGGGTTGGGGGCTGCTGAGTGGAAAGAGAATTCAGGTAGCTGCTCCAGGGTGACAGTATGGGGGCCCCAAATGCCACCCTCGTCACTAGCCGCGCATACCGTGTTGAAAAGGAAAACCCTGTTTCCTTGCGAAGGGCCTGGCACCTCGAAGTTGAAACTTGGGGTGGATTTGTTTAAGAAACTGACTTTTCCTTTTCTGGTGCATATCCAACCAAGCTTCTCGCTGCAAAGGCCTTTTCTTTTTATTATAAAGGGGTTTTCGCTTTAATTAAAGCTGAATTATCTTTAATCCCTGATCATTAAAATATTTGAAAGCCTTAAATATTTGCTAGTCATCTGTGAAAAATCTGGGAGGATTTCCAAATTGGGAGAGTTTACAGAGGGCCGAAAGAGAGACATTGGGAACAAATTTCACTGCATCTGAAAGGCAGTGGAACTGAGATGGGATTTTCGTGTGTGTCTAATAAATTAGATTTCCAGGAAATGAGAATACTCAAGTGTTCAAAGCTTTTATCCACGTCTTAAAAGAAAAAGAGGACAAGCTGCTGCTTTTTTTTTTCTGCTTAGTTTAAGAGTTGAAAATAATGAGTAAAAGTCATGGCTTAAAAAATATAATTCCCTAATGTGACTTGGGATTAACCAGCAAGGACAGTTCAATGTCTCCTAATTTGGGGCAGTAAAGCTGCAATGATTTCATTGAAGGGGTGGAAATTTTAGCACCTACTTTCAAGAAAGGAAGGATGGAGAGGGAACGAATACAAGAGAAAGAGGAGAGGCAAAGCCTTCCAGTAACCTACAGAATCCAAGCAAAGCAGATTCAAGCTCCCTGGGCACATGAGCCCACCTGCATTCTCCCTCGTTGCTTGTTCACGGGTGTTGGCTTCTCTACGTTGTGTGATTCTTGAGAACAGTATCTGTGACTTCTTTGTGACCACAGGCCAGCACAGCACCCAGCATATGGCCATTCTTAACACATGACTATGATGTAATCAGATGGTAGAGATACTAGGCAGGACCTCCCGCACGCACAGAGGGCAACAGTAGAGCATTGCAATAGCCCACCTCAATCCTTCTGTCTAGAATCGGGTACACTGGATCTGAAGGCTAGAGCTGATGTGGTCGGGAATGGAATAAGACAAGCAGGGAAACCCAGGAGGTGGTGGGAAAGGAGCCCTCACCCAAGTCAGTGTTTCTTTTCTCTACTGCTGGCAAATATCTAATACTTAAGGGAGACTCCAGCCCTTAGCTATGCAGATGAATCTTTTAGGGGAGGGCACAGGGTACTTACACTTCTGTTGTTTCTCTTTTTCTCCCTAATTGCAGGCTCTCACACACTTGCCCTGCAGTGCTTAGGTGCTGGATTGCTGTTTTTTTCAGCTCTCCTAGGGGGTCTTCTGCCCTTATTGACTGAAAACTGCTTTCTCCCTTCTGAGGTTGTGGCAATCCCCCCATTTCCCTTCATAAATCTAACACTAAAGCCACCAGTTTGGCTGAAGTTCTTTTGTGTTCTTTACTAAGCGGGTTCTCTCTGTCTTGCCTGTGAAGGTGGAACTGGCAGTAAAACTATAATTACACAGTTTCTAGTGCTTTAATCAAATCAGTGACGAACTTTCATCGGAAGAAACCAGATGTTCCTCTTGGCAAGGACTTTCCATATATAAAGAAGCAAAAAACCTTGTCATTGAGCTAAGGTCTTAGGGTAATGGCAAAATTAACTTTCTAATGTAAAATAGATATAATAGACTTGAAGGATTATACTCTTTGAAAGTAATAAGAAACAGCAGAAATAGTAGGCAGATATCAATTAAATAAAAATAAAAATATTAAAGCAGCAATTCAAATATTCTTGGGGCAAAATAAACCCATTTGCTCCTATCTAGTTATCATAACCAGTAATCCGTGAAAAGAGCTGAATTTCAACACCCATTCTTGCCAGTTACTACTGTACTTAACAATATTTATACCTGTGTTTAGAGACAAAGGGTAGATAAAGCACAGAAAGTCTGAGACCAAAATACAGCAATTGAGAGCTGTACCATGCAGAGAAGAAGCAAGCCACAACTGTTAGGAGGGGCTGCCAGCCGACAGGTCACAGAAAATTGGTGAGATCTCGTTTCAAAGTTCCACGACCCGATTGTAGAGTTAAATTCACTTTTCCCCCCCGAGTTTCTGCTTCGTACTAGGAGTTGGAAACAAATACAACCACAGCCATGGGTGAGATAAACAGAGAAAAGGGTGGGACGCCACTGAGGACTAGGATGGGACAAAGAGACTCAGAAGAAGCGAAAATGGAGAGAAGAGGCAGAGAGAGAGAGAGAGAGAGAGAGAGAGAAGGGATGCAAAAGAAAAGAGAATGCGTGTGGGAGGAGTCGGAGGGGGTAGAAGGAAGGAAGATCCAGGCCCCGCTCGCTCGGCAGGTGCGTGACAGTTGCACCCCTAGTTTTATTTGAGGGGGAGAGAGTGGAGCCGGCGGGCTGCATGGGCTCAGGGTCGGGGACGCCGCTGCAGCCTCCACTGCCGCCCGACGACCCCTGCACTCTCTCCTGCAGGTGTGGTTCCAGAACCGACGGGCTAAGTGGCGGAGGCAGGAGAAGCTGGAAGTGTCCTCCATGAAGCTGCAGGACTCGCCGCTCCTCTCCTTCAGCCGCTCCCCGCCCTCGGCCACGCTGTCGCCCCTCGGGGCGGGTCCGGGCAGCGGAGGCGGGCCGGCGGGGGGCGCGCTGCCGCTGGAGTCCTGGCTTGGGCCGCCGCTGCCGGGCGGGGGCGCCACCGCGCTACAGAGCCTGCCGGGCTTCGGGCCGCCGGCGCAGAGCCTGCCCGCCAGCTACACGCCGCCGCCGCCGCCCTTTCTCAACTCCCCGCCGCTGGGCTCCGGCCTGCAGCCTCTAGCGCCGCCGCCGCCCTCCTACCCATGCGGGCCCGGCTTCGGGGACAAGTTCCCGCTGGACGAAGCGGACCCGCGCAACAGCAGCATCGCCGCGCTGCGTCTGAAAGCCAAGGAGCACATCCAGGCTATCGGGAAGCCGTGGCAGGCCCTGTAGGGGCACTGGGGACCGTCTAGGGAGCCGACCCCGGGCCGAGCGCACCGTACCCTCATCTTCTCTCCCAGGGACCCCTCCCCCCGACTCGGCCACTCTTTACCCGTCGCCTGCCAGCCAGCAACCCGCCAGGCATAGTTCAGGGCCGGGGACCTGCTCCCGACGCACGCGGAGAAGGGTGACTTTCAGGCCATAGGAGAAGCCCTCTGGCCGCCTCCACACACTTCGCGGACCTCAGCCCTGGAGGGCTAGAGGCTGCCGGGTCCCGCCGGCCACGCCGCTCCCATCCCCACGGGTGCTGGAGCCTCCAGGCCCAACAGGCTTAAGCTCCTGAACTTGGCATTCCCAGGAGGCTTGGACACCCCCAGATAACCATAACAGGAAAGAAGGGGAGGTGGAAAAATAGTTTGAGGAACTTTCGTATAAGTAGTTTCCAAGTCTTTGAGAGGAGAATTAAAGACCTGCTTGTTTTGTTTCGAATCTGTTTAAGCACGCTCAGGACTTGGGGTGAGGAGTGAATATGGGGGTACGGGAGGAGGGTGCGCTGATCGGCAGGGTGGGTCAGGGAAAGCGGAGGACTGCGATGAAGCTCAGAGTTCCCTTGTGAAAATTCTGGGGACACTTCGCTGCCGCAGAGAATCGTTCCCATTCGGAAGGCTTCAGCGACCTGGACGAGAGGCGCCCTTCCCTGGAGCCGGAGAGCGCACGTGGGTCCGGAGTGTATGGAACTAAGGTTCAGCCGCTGGCGCGTTCCCAGTTACCACGCTAGTCCCGTAGTCCAGGGGCGGCTGATACTTCGAAGTCTGACTTTAATAGAAAGCGTCAGGACCACCATCCCTAGGGTGAGAGCCCCTGGCGTCCCCGCTCCCCTAAGAGCTCCTCTCAGTTCACCTTGCAGATAGATCTCCGGTTCGGTGCCAGTTTCTGACACCCAGGGTTGATGATTAGCGGTACAAGAACTGAGGCAAAGAGATGCTTTGCCTTTTCGGAGCGGCGAGACTCTGTTACCTCCCCAACTCGCCGCACACCCGCCAACCCAGAGCTCGCTAAAAGGTGAGGCTGTTTAGGTGCCGCTCTAGGAGAGTGTCCTGGACCGCCCTGCTCCACCGCCCCGAGGGCTAATTCATATGGGCTTGCCCTGGACAGTTATCTGCAATTCTTTGGCTCCGACTCTAGGGCGGGGAAGGAATCCCGAAATCTCAGCCCGCTTCACAAGCTCCTGAGACTCGGGGGAGTCAGGGACTCCCTCCTGAGCGTCCTCGGAGGACGCTGGAGCTGGAGCTGGAGCTGCACCACCTCCAGCAGGTTGCCCGCCAACAGGTCCTCGGCCCCCGGTCCACCCCACAACCCCCGTCCCTAAGCGTGCCTTCGGGATGATGCCGCCAGAGCCTTAATTAGCATCAACTGGCTACTGTCTGTTGGTCCTAAGCAAATTAGTGAAGCTCCCAGTCCCCTTTCCTCGTCTAAATGAGCCCTATCTCTCTGGAAGGTGGAAAAGATGAAATAAGATCGCCTATAAAGGCTTTATGTAAACTATCAAGACCCTGGCATGACGCAATATGCATTGTAATCACGGTTCCCCTTTACCCGAAATATTCCCTGGCTGTTCTCCCATTCCTGAAACCGACTTGGGAAAAGGATGACCACTCCAGGGCTAGGAGTAGGGAACTCTCATCATCCAGTCCTTTCTTTGCAGGTCCTAAGAGGCTATTGTGTAACCAGGGCTGTGTACTCCTAGACCTCCAACTGGTGCCTTTCACGCAGGAGGCTGATCAGTAAAAATTGACTGAATAAATTCTTTCCCCCAAGTGGTAATATCTGCACTTTACCTCACAAGGATGTCTTTCTGGGGGAGATGGATGGAATAGCCCATGTGCTACCACCTCTCAGCAAGAAAAAACCCACCAGAATGAATGTGTGGTTGGCCTATCATTTGTTTCATCCTTTCATTCCCTAGGGTTGATTTATTTACAGAACTTCCAACTTCATAGGCTCCAAGTGAATAGCACAGTTGCTCTGTCCTCCTTCTTACTGCAGTCTTGGGCACCCGTGACCTTGAGCATCCCATCATCAGCCTCTTCACTTCCCTTAGATCATTGCCAAGATAATTCATTTTGTCTCCTCTGTGCTGTTTTTCAATTATGAGTTTTTCTGCTACTTCCCCTTCTACTGTTTTCTTCTACTGTTTGGTTTCAGATGAAAATAGATTTTCTTCTAAACCATCATCAAGAGAGTGAGCCATACACGGATTTCAGAGACAAACCCTTGGAAAATGATTCAGTAGCTAATGATTATTAAACGGTGACTATGTGCCAGCACTCTTCTGAGAAGTTTACATCTACTAGGTCAGTTAAGCCTCATCACAATCCTACCAGGAAGATACATTTAGCCCCATTTATAAATGAGGAGGCTGAGGCACAGAGAGGTTGTCTCAGTTTACACTGTTTCTAAGTGTTGGGGCTCAAATAACCAGAAGTGTCCATCATAGTGCGTGTTGGGAAAACATTGCTGATAAGTGCTCCTTATTCCAATTCTAGGACAGCTCGTTAGGCCATATTGGAAACTAAGATCCTGAGCGGTGGGCACTAGCTGTGCTTTCAAAGGCTTCCTGAGGAGATCTGCACACAGCATCTGCCCCAGGGTTCCCCCATCCCCAAGCCCTGCAGGGCAGCTCTGAGGGTGGGAGATTCACTGCCAGCTCAGGAGTGGGGGTGCAGATGGGGCGGGAATTCAGTTCTTAACTCTGGCTGGAGGTGAGCAGCTTGTGATAAAGAGCATTAAAGCCCTGACGACCCTGAAACACTTGGGGCCTCTGCTCAAGCTCACGGCAAGAGAAAACACTTTGCAGAAGCGCCGGCCGATGCTGGGGCCCAAGCTTCCAAAACTGAAAGGCTGGTTTGGTCTGGGACCGGCATAATAAGCCTTTCAGACACCGAGGGAAGCCTGCATCACTTTCCCGAGAATCACTTTCAGTGGTTCTTGAATTTTCTCTAATGAGGAAAATTCATTAGGGAAATTTGGCTCAGGTGATGCCACCAGTGCCCACGGAAGGAAAACAAGAACCACATGGGTCTTAAGAGGTTCCAGAAGAAAAGGCCCTGTGCTGCTCCAAGCACAGACCTAGATTGAGGCGAGCCTCGATTGGCGTCGGTCAATTTAAGAGGCCTGGAGATCCTTCTTTCCCAGCCTCCGACGGTGTCTGCTCTGGCCCGCCCTAGGAGGAAAGCAAGCAGGTCTGTAGACCGGTATCCTCTTCTACTCCGGCGAACCAGGTTGGGCGGGGCTTGGGCGGGACTCCCATCCAGCGAGGGCGGGACGGGGAAGGACGCCGAGGACCGGATCGCGCGGAGAGAAGGGCGGAGTCAGGCACTGCGGGAGAGGTGGGGCGCTGACCGCCCTTTGAGCCTCAGGGGTTCTCCGCTGACCCCGAGAGCTGGAGACTGCCGGGAGCGGACCTCCCCCCAGACCCAGGCCATCATCAGCCAGCCCTACAGTAGTTTTTGTTTTGTTTTGTCAGAGACAGGGTCTCGCTCTGACGCCAAGGCTGGAGTGCAGTGGTTCAATCATAGCTCACTGCAGTCTCGACCTCCCGGGCTCAAGCGATCCTCCCGCCTCGGCCTTCCGAGTAGCTGGGGCCACAGGCGCACACCACCATGCCCGTCTGTTTTTTGTTTTCTTTTTTCTTTCCTTCTTTCTTTCTTTCTTTTTTTTTTTTTTTTTTTGTGGAGACGGGTGTCTCACTATGTGTACCCACGCTGGCCTCGAACTTCTGGCCTTAAGCGACCCTCCCACCTCGAACTCCCAAGCACTGGGATTACAGGCGTGAGCCACAGCGCCGGTCGGAGCATTTTAAGTTTTGCGTTTTTTCCTAGTCTCTGCGCTCGAGGGCGGCGTGTCCATAGTACTCGCCACGGCTCCAGCTTCCGTTGGCTATGTTCACAGCCCAATTTCTTTCCTGTGCGGACGCAGGGGACTGAGGGCTCAGCCTCTCCGGATTGCTCGGGATTGCTCGGCTCCAGAGGCTCGACGTTAAGAGAGCAGCGGTAGGATCGCGGAGGAGCCCTCGCTCCTTGTCCTGAGATTCCACTGCATCCCTGGACAGGTCCAGGCTGTGTATCCCTAGTGGACTTCCTAGTTCTGAAGCCGGTTCTGTTCCCTGCCGGTCCAAGCCCCCACCTGCGATGCTCAGGAGGGTGATCCGAACTGGTGAGGGTGGGATGGAGTGGAGGGACGGGAAGAGAACCCCCGAGAGGCGTGGGCTTTGGCCAGAGGTCGGCAACTAAACTGGGATCACCCTACTGCATCTATTTATCATAAATATATATTTAATATTTGGGGAATGGGAATTGTCAAACTAATGGAGATGATCCCTGCCTGCCCTCGACCCCGCCCTAGTTAATTGAGAATCTGGTGAGGGTAAAGAGGGAATGCCAATTCTTCCCTCTCTAGCCAAATTCACGGGCTAGTTAAAAGTCTTTGTGGAGACCTCCAGAGTCCACGCGCAGGAAGTGGGGGGCGGGGGCGGCAAGAGAGACCACGACCCCCAACTCAGCTTCCAGAGAGAGCACTCCCCACACGACGGATTGGCTTATGGTGAGGGTACCCTGGGAGCAGACCCCAGAGGCCTGGAGGCTTTAGCATTTGATGAGAGGCTGTCTCCGTCATCCACCCCATGCAGCTCAGCCCCTGGCCCCAGGCCCCCAGCCCCACTCCCAGCCTCACCCAGTCTGCTTCTCCAGCCTCCATTCCAAGAGCACCTTCTCACCGACAGAATCTTATTACATGAATGGAATCCAAGCCTCCAGAAGGCAGGTAGGAAAAGACTTTAAGGGAAGATGAAATTAAAAATTAATTTATTAAAAAATACAATTAAAGTAATTAAAAGCTGCGCTTCCTCTGCTCGGGTGGCCAGAGCTCCTCAGGCGCCCTTGGTGCCTTTTCGCCCTCCTTGGAAAGGCAGACCCTGCAGCGCCAGATCAGCGCACCCGACACTTGTGGAGGCGGATGGTGCTCTCTGTGAACTTATCTTCTCTTTTATTGGGGACTAGCTCCAATAATCTGGTCTCTGCTTGTTAACTGTACAATAGTGGGCAGGGTTAATGACTCATTAGTGATTAATGCCTTTACCACGCCTTACTTCCTTGCTGTAAAACTCCTTTGGTAAACTGGATTAAATCATCTAGATCCTTGGCACGTCTCCCCCAGCCCTGGTGGACACGGAGACAGCCAGGTTCCCCAGCACCCTGAGCCCCATGGCTTTTTAATGGCAGGTGCAGTGGCAGCTCCTCTGCCTGGAAGCCAGGAGAGCTGTGGCCCAGTCATGACTGGGACCTTAAACAGGGTACTGTCAGCAAACCTCAGTGGAGCACTAGGTCTTGAAGTTCTCTGCTCCCTCCTTAGTTCACCTAAAGGTGAAGGTAGACCTTCACCTAAATGTGACAGCTCATTTGAGAAGCACTTTTCCTCTGCTCTGTGCTTAG